AACATAAGTTATTGATAAACAATAATGATCAAGGAACATTCACGTACATTAATACATATAAACTTAAGAATATACATACATATGCACTTGTATAAAATTTATTGTGCGCAATATCCTCATTATAGATTTAAACTTCTAAAAGTCTTTTATTTTATAACATGAAATCTTTTGATTCATGATATTCAAATGCATTTACAATTTATCATGTTGGATTTGTGTTTATATATGTATTATTTCCCCATTACTGCATTCATGATTGAATACATGCATACGTACATAAACAGTCATGTAGAGATACACACACACTGTCGAGGGCATGTCATATAACCATATGATTAATACGCATTGAACAGCTGATTCATTCGTACCTAATGTTTGTATATAAGCACACATTGATATACATATGTATTTATAAAGACTCACACCATATGGGCCTTTATTTTGAGCTCTGGTGCTCGCTCACGCACACACTGGCAAAGCCAGCTGCAACAATTACTAAAACTGTTGATATCATAAAGCACCAGGGCCGCCTTTGGATTGTCACTGAGTTTTTAGATGAGAAATAACAGTATAATGGTGATTAAATACGTACAGACACATTTAATTATAAAAAATAAACATATATTGTAAGTTAAACATGTTGAATGTTAACTTTGTACGATACTTCACAGAAATAATATTATCGTTTATGGGCCATTATTTCACCGCACTGCGCTACTGTTCGGTTAGGTTGAGCAGCCAATCCTCTCAATTGTGGTCTCTCGACTCTCCCTCACGAATATGCAAGCGAACGAATGCACAACAAGAGTGTATTGCTTATATGTGTGCGTGATTTTATTTATATATGTATACAAACAGATATATGTATGTATGAATATAAGTTTGCAAAGCAGTATAAGTGATGGATGTATGTATGTATACATTTAAAAATATATACATATACAGTAATATATGTAAAGAATTATATGTATAAACATAATATATAAATATAAGTGTATGTACATATACATGCATGTATTTATATATGGGAAATATTGCAGGAACTCAAGACATCAACTTTGCAAAGCAGTTCATTTGAACAGCTGTAAGCGATCGACGACGACCTCAGCGGTTAATACAAATCATAAACGAAAAAGCTTAGGGACCATACAATAAAACATGTACATTTGAATTTACATTTGTGTATGTGTGTTTTTATACGAAAAACATAAAGATATGTATGAACTTACATATAAAAAGGCAGAGACAAAAAAAAAACAATTCTGACGAATCAAATATAAATAAATGAACGTGTGTACATATGTGTGTGAAAACAGCGTCTTGTGTGTATACAAAAAGAGCGATAAAAAAACAACAACCTAAAGTAATTTGCGTAGTGTATTTGTGTGTATGTATGTATGTATGCATATATGTATTTATTTACGTGCTTATGTATAACAGACGTTCGTATGAATGTAGTTTCTCGTCGCATTCAACTCGTATCTCAATCGGTTCGTGTTCGTCGAGTTCGCTGCTTCTTGCATTGGCACTTGGCGCTAAGATTCAATTGAGCCAGAGTGCTCCGACTTTGCCGCGGAGCAGTCGGTCGCAATATGTGTTCTGCTCCGTCATAGCCTCGATAACGTTAATACGCAGATGATATACGAATCCAAACTAAAACCAAATATAAAAACAAAACAAAACAAAACAAATTAAAAGCCACAACATTTTAATGTCACTAATTTAGCAACAAGTGTTAATCCTAATGCAGATATATGCACGTATAAACTTTTGCGTATAAATAATACATTCATTGGCTGTATGTAAAGTATAAAGTGATTAAACCTCAACATTTTTAAACTATAATTCACCTGCATGGTCATTGTGATTTGTCTGTGTTTAATCTACGCACTGTTTAATATGCCAATGTACATGGATTAAAAGAAAAGCGTAGTTATCATGCATTTGTATTTGTATATTTTCTTGATTCTTGATACGCGATTCGAAAACGTCATTGCTTATAGCATATGCAACAACAAATGTATATGCATACATACATACATACATAATAATATTATAATTAAATATAACAGATTTGAGCAAGTAAACCCACAAATATATAAGTATATGTGTGCATAAATATAAATACATACATACATACACACGCATAAACATATATGTATGCGTAGTTCGTGCATCTGTGATTTTTAAATGTGTTTCCATAAGAGTATACAATTTTTAAACATGTATTAACGCACATACATGCATACACATGTGTGCATGCCTGCATGTGTGTGCCTCAGTGAGCGAATGTGTGTGCATGTGTGTGAGTGTACATGTAAATAAAATAAACTCATTGCCACAGACAAAACTCGAACGTGAGTCTTTGAGCATTGCGAACAGAAAACAAGGAACCAGTTTCACCTTGAGTCAAAATGCATACATGCATACGCAGTATGTACAAGTGCATACATATACAATATGAACATATACAAGTGCACATAAGGACGATCAAAATTATATCCGCAACTTGCATTTGAACGATCAAGAGAAAAAACGAATAAACTTGTATGTGTACATGTATGTATGTAAAAAGTACATACGCTTACATATATATTGCTACATAAGTATATGCATGTTCATAAAAACGGAATTAAATTAATATATGTACATATGTATGTATGTGGATATATACAAAGTATATACATACATATAAATGTATGTGCGCACTTATATATAAGTATAAACAAATCGTTCCATACTTGTTCTTATATGTACGTGCATTCTCATATACATATGTATGTATGCAATATCCATATTCATATGTACATACATATATGAATGCATGCAAATATAAGCACGCAGATATTTTATTATTTTTATGTAATGAAATGCAAATTGTCCAGTCCAGATACAAGATCCAGGCATCTTAATAATATAACTGATCTAGATCACGCACAGTCACAAATACTAACTCCATTTATTTTTTTATTTATCACTCCGACAGTGCCACAACAAATTTATAAACTAACGACGGAATATAAACTATTTTAATAATTATAAGTAAAGGCGTGCCAGCCTCTGGCCACACATAAACAACTAAGATGGAAAACTATGAAAATAATATTAAAACTAAAAGATCTCCAACGGTTTTTGGATCTGCACTCGTTCCCGCTAACTCAAGTACTCCGTATTCAGATGCAACTCAAGTAAGTAAAATCACAATAGGCATACATACATACATATATAAATATGTAGGTATGTCCAATCAGAATACTCAATTTGAAATTGGGCAAAAATTGCATTTTTATACCTTAGCATTTCCATTGAGATAACATTTGGTCTAGCGTTTGTGCTAAAGATTGCGTTCTTATACTTATATTTAATCATTTACAGTCAACATTTCAACTAAAATGTCATTTATTTCTAAGCTAACTTCCTTATATACATACATATGCATTCAACAGTTTAAATGGTATTTTTAGTATATTTATATCCAAGAGTAGTTTCTTATACATATGGAATTCTTCTTATACGCTTAACCGTTTATCTGAAGTGGCAATTTTAGTTCATTTCTAGCTGTCAAAATAGCTTAAAAATACACACATGTGTACATACATACATATCTACATATATTTCCCGCTAACTACGTATGTAGCTATTAATGCGTCATGCACTTTGTGTATATTAAGCGCATTTAGAATGTCTGGTTGGTTCTTATGAACAGAACTTTTTGTCTAGCTTTAAGAGTGTCTGAACTTTATTTCTATTTACATATACAAACATGCATATATGTATTTGTGTATGTGTATAAAAGTTTGTGAATTTCATAGGTGCAGAACGGATGCCATTCCGATAGAAGAGGTCAATGAAACGTTTAACTGATAAGAATGTATGTATGTATGTATGTGCGAAAAATAGGTGTTTATATGTATATGTATATATATTACACATTGATTTGTTTATATATATTTTTCGTTAAATTTTAGATAGTAATTTCATTATATTATTTGAAAAGAAAACAAATTATAAAATGCGCAGCATGTGTTTTGCGAGCTAAGGTGTTAATATTTAAATGAAAGATATGTATGTATGTATGTATTTCCATGTAAACACAAGTCATGCACTCCCACTAAGCGTATAAGAGTAGTTTCATTTATTGGTATAGGTTTGTATGTATGTACAATGTGTGCGTGCATCCATTAAATTATATATCAACTGTCTGGCTTCTGGCGTCCATGTTTGTGTTTTGGTTAGATTCATATAAGACATCAAGAATGTAAATCAATAATTTAGAGTCACATTTTAGCAAGTGCAAAAGTAATGTCAATGGCCGCTGTAGCAAAGCGTCTGCGTCCACCTCACCATTTGCTTCATATCCCATTCGTTTGAGCTGTGGCTGCTTCTGGTGCTGCTCTTGTTGCTGATGTTGTTGTTGCTGTTGTTGTTGCGTCGGCGTCGGCGTCGTTGCCGCTGGCTATATTGGTTGGTTGAACTTGGGGTTCACGAACTGCTTCAAGGTCGTAGTTAACGCTATTACTAGTGTGTTTTTTTTTCGACTCTAATAAAAAGGTTGTTCACTCGAGCAGTGCGACATTGCGCTTAGTGTACTAGAATATATACAGATATACACAATCTATACATAATGTACATTAATATGTAGTCTGTGCATATTGCTTATTGACTTATACATAATGCTTAAGTGACGTTTGTTCCGTT